CATTAGCAAATGCTTCAATAACTTTCTCATAATGGTTTTATTAGGAGTTGAATTTTTTTTTAAATTTTTTTGTTAATAATGCAACCATCTTACGTTATTGGACCTAACTTAACTTCAAAAGTTAGATCATGAATCGAGAATTATTTAAAAATATTTAAGGAGATCATAACTTATTCCCCCAACTAATACAGGACAATCTGTTGGAATTCCGACCCCCAAAATTTGCCTAAGGAATAGGTTTATTCTATATTTTCCTTTGCAGATTACAACAATTACTTTTTGTAAAATAAATAATATAATGACACAATTTTTTATCGCGGAAAACCCCCAACTCATAAGGGTAAAAAACACGACCTACACCTCTGTAGGATTTAACTCCACTTCATTAAACTTTGAACATTAACAACAGATTACAAGACTATGTAACCTAAGGAATAAACTCTAATTCCTAGCTAAGAAATTATACTATAATTTATAGCTACCCAAAGACACAAAACCCTCCGGTTTATATCTTCTAATGTTCTTCAAGTTTTGCAACTTGTCGAACAACTCCTACTCATAAAACTCAAATTGTAAACAAGACTCTTGAATACAATCTTACAACTTCTCACTTAATTCGCAACACTCCCCAAGTTAATATCAAATCTCTTGATAGTGTTTTGATTTTTTCTCTACGTAAGTGCACAATTTTTCTCAAGCGAAACTATCGCCCTATTTATAGATTTGAAATTGAATCCAAAACCTATTTCAACAAGAAATCCTACTTCATGTAAGACTCTTCTTTTGTGTGGAACTCCTAGTTCAACTCGAACTTGTCTTCAATTTTCTTTCTTAACTTTAACTTGATTTCCTTATCTGCTCATGCTTCCTACTTCATTCCAGATTTAAAATCACATTCACTTCCTTCTTTGCTTCGGCTTTCTAGTTTTTCTATTTGATTATGAAAAACTATTTTGCCTATGAACTCCTTTGTGAAAGAAAACTTTTTGTACTGGTTTCTTGTCAAAAAAATAATAATTTCACAACTTTATAACTTCTAATTAATGTGATTGACGTTCTCCTTATACAAGTTGAATTCGGTCTGTAAAGAATACATCGAACAACTGTTTCTTTCATCTGTTTCTATATTTGTCAATTATCAAAATCTTTCTCATTCTAAAACAATCTAAGATTGTCTTGTACAATCAAGATCAAACAATTTAGAGGGTAAAAAGTTAAGCTTTTGCCGTGATTTTTTTACATTATTTAAAGTTTGTTTTCTTCAATAATGAAAACATAATCTTATTCAATATTTAGTTTATTCTTTCCTTAGAGGAAAAGTTGGAAATTTATAAATTGAAGATTCGTAAATAGAATTGTTAATGTAAGATCTAGCCCCCCTTGTTTGTACTCTTCTTCGGAAAAAAAGATTTGTATTAATAAAAGTTTCTTAGTTAAAAAAAAGATTTGTATTCTCATAGCTCAACACAATAACATCCGCAATGTATTTGTTCAAAGATTTCTGTTTATAGGGAGATTTTTCTCTCAACAATTTTAATATTTTTCTCTTACATTAGTTTTTATATAATAATATTTTATTTTCGATAGGAGTATAAGTTTTTATCATCTAATTTAGGCGAAATGGTCTGATGAACTATTCTACCTGTATGCGTCTGTATTCTAGACCATTCTACTTGACTATTTGTTTACTGAACCCTTAAAATCAATGAAACTCTGTTTTAAACCTTTTTAACCATTGCCAAACTTATGTGGCAACTTTATTATTCGGTTGGCACACATGTGTGATGTCACACATAGAAGGAGAGTGAAATATCAAATTTTAGGCTAAAATAATTTTTTTCTTTTTTAAAAAAAGATTAAAAAGATAAAAAATAATAACACTAACTTCTTTTTTTAGTTCTTTTTCTTTTTCCACCCCACTCAGCTCCATTTCTTTTTTCTTTCTACTCTCAAACCCCCATTTCTCTTCTTTCTCCACTTTCCGGTCCTTCCCAATTTTGTTGTTTCTCTCTCTCTTTTTTTTTCTTACATTTTCTTCCTTTTTGGGTATAGAAATGAAATTGTATTGTTGTTGTAGATCTGTATTTTTTTTTATTTTTGGGATAATTTATAATCTATAAAGTGATAAAAATTCAAAAATTTTGAAAGATCAAAAGTTATTGTTGAATGTCTTTGTGAAATTAGGTGAAATGAGTAATGTAAAATTATACACAAATATTAGAGTATAATGATATACTTTAGTGACTATTTGTTAACATCAACGAGGAAAAGAGTTTTATGGTGGTTCAATTGGTAAAAGTAATACGATTAAAGTTGTGAATGAAAGAATTTTTTTTAAAAAAATGGAGTGATAATTGTTACTTATTTGGGAATGTAATGATACTAGTGAAAATGGAAGGTAGCAGTTGTACCTCTAATGTAAAACTAAAAAAAATGGAGAGAGGTGAAGGGATAAAGGAGGAATGAACTGAAAAAAAAAGAAAAATCAGATTTTTTAATAAAAGAAATCTTAATAAGTGATGTGTCATCTAAAATGTGATTGGATGATGATATGTCATTTTTGTCAAGTGTTTAAAGTTTTCACAAATCGAAAGGGGTTTATTATGCTTAATTTCACTGAGTTTAAGGATTCAATTGACAAATGATCAAGTAGATTGGTCAAGAAAACAAACTCATACAAATATAAGAGTCTATCAGACCATTCCTTCTCTAATTTTTCACTATTTTATTTTTTACAATTATAAACTTCCACATGAAGCTCTATCATTTTCCAATCCAATAAAAAAAAAGGGACCAAGGTCCCAAACATTGAGTAAATCAAGAAAAAAGTGACTTTAATACCGATATGAAAAAACACTCAACCTCAAATATAATGTCATCTCCAACCATATCTCCTATTTATTCTTTAAATGTAGAGTTTTTTATTTTTCAGACAATTAATTTTAATTTAATTCTCTATTTTATTCTTTAAAAAGAAATCTTTGTCTTTCTTTGTAATTATTATATTTATTTCATAAAATAAATCATTTCTCTTTTTGCAAATAATCACTCTACAATCTTTACGTAATACAATTTTTTAAAAAAAATTATATTTATTCTAAATTTCTAAATAACATAATTTCATATTATCGAAAAATTTATTTTAAGTTTTACATAAATATTTCAAAATTATTACGTAACTCTCATGAATGTTCTATTAATGTATTATGGAGTTCAAAATAAACATTTTTTGTCCTTATTTTTTTGTGTGTAGCTAAAAATTATTTAACTTAATAATTTATTCTTATCCAATTATTTTGTGTACTAATTTACTTCCTCTATTTCGTTTTGAACTATTGCATCAAATATTTTCATACTCTTTTAAAAATGTAGTTTAATAATTTATTACTGTAATCTATAAGTCTATAACATAAAAGTGGATTGCCTAAATTATCATGTAAAAATTTTGTGCATACTTTATAACGAAAAATGATTATAATCGAAGTTACATATCTAAATGACAAAAAAACAATTAAAAAATCAAATTAGAAAAATTGTTAATACGGAATGGAAGTAGTATACTTATCAATATATGTGTTTAGATGTTATATTACTTAGAAAATAATTACAAATATTAGAGACTTAATTTATAATCTTATATAATATAAATAATATTAAAATAAATTTTAATTGCATATCTAAAGTGACTATTTATTTTTAAAAATAAAATAAAAAAAATATTAATTTGAGCGGAAATAGTAACTTGTTGATGATATACTTTTAAATATTATATTACATTAGAAAATAATTATAAATGATAATGGCTTAATTAGTAATATAATAGAAATAATATTATAATAATAAAAAAAGTAAAATAGAGAAGTGAATATGTAACGACCTGTTTAGACGTTTTGAGCAGCAGATTTTATTAGTGGAAAAACAGGCTGAGACGACGGATCCCACGACGGAACGTCATGGGCGCGACGGACCGTCGAGGGTGTCTCGTCCCAAAACACTTAGAAATTTCTGAAATTTAGGTGCTGAAATCGACTCTCTGAACTCTGTGACGGACCTGCAGGACGGACCGTCACAGGCACGACGAACCGTCGTGATCCACCGTTTCAAAATACTTCAACTCTTGAGAATTTGGTACAGGGAACGATTCTCTGAACGTCGTGACGGAAGTGCAAGACGGACCGTCGTAGGTACGACGGGCCGTCACAGACTCCTTGAGGAAATCGAGTCTCTGACGAACCTGCATGACGGACCGTCGCAGGCGCGACGGGCCGTCACAGGTTGCGTAATCCCAGTCGGAGTCGGATTTCTGGTTAAGTTTTAAAGGAGCGTTTTGGACTATTCCTGTTATAATTATATAAATTGTGGGTTATTATTGTCATCTTTTAACTTAATTACATGTTAATTAGGGTAAAAGAAAGAGGGTTTGAATAAGAAAAAGAAAAGAACAGAAAGAGAGAGAAGGGAATCGATAGAGAGAGGGTCGATCGAGAAGGGGAAAGCACAAAGCTTTGGAGAAAATTTGCTTGCTTGATCACTAATCTTCGGTGGAGGTAGGTTATGGTTTTCATGCTTTCATAAGTAAACTCTTAATAGAGAATGATATGTATTGGTAGTATTGTAAAACCCTGCTATGTGCTTAATTGTATGCATGCATGAACATGATTATATAATTGTGATTATATTAAGCATGATAAAGTTGTTGAATCCCAAATCTTGATAAAAACCTAATC